TACTAAAACAGTTAAATACGTTGAAACTTTGGTAATGTATCATCATTTCTGTCTGACAGAGAAATCTTCCAAGGTAACATCAATAATCTCTCAATGAATAAATAGAAAACAAAAAATCATTATTTTCTAACAGCATATACAGATATAATAATAATAATAATAATAAAATTGCTGTAGATGAGCAGTTTGCAAGCATGTTTCATTTTCTCTGCTTGAGCTAAATATTTGCTGAATACACTTCAGTGTGACACCCAGCAGACACTCATATATGGCATCAGTGAAACTGTCAGATCATTAATATCTCACATGCACATCCTTTAGCCAGGTTATGTAGGCTAAAATAGAGACCTAAATGGCAGAGTCTCAATATAAAGCCAAATTCTTAACTTTTATTTCAGTTTTACAATATTGTTTGCCATTAATGCAGTTTAAAGATAGAATTATTTTAAAGCTCTGATAAACAGGGGTTTCTAGGTTTCTTTAGGCCCAATTCTACACTGAATTTGAAGTATTGCTTAATGATAAAGAGGCTTACTAAATAGATTCTCTCTTCGGTTTATTCATGCAACATGCATTCATTCATCATGAATGAAAGGAGGATTTCCTCTAAGTGAGAATTAGTTCTGTAAAATACAGGAGGAATTGCTTACTCTGAACTCAGGCAGAAATGCAAATACCATCTTTGTCTGGTAAAAAGACTTTTGAGATTTATTTAATCAAGGGAAAAAATATCTTTGGATGCAATTTTAAAATCTTGTTTACAAGAAAATAAGAATTGTTTTAATGAATCACAGCACTTGCTTCCTCCATGGGTATCCATGGCAAAATGTACTCTGAAACATTTTGGTCACAGTAAATGAGAAGATGTTGGAAAATCATCCAAGGAATTTGGTTTCTCTCCGTGATAACTTACACTTATCAAGACATATGCATAGCTCTCTTTTTTTTTTCTTTAATGATCATTTATTTTTATTGTTTTCTACTGACAACATGTAACATTAGAGTTTGAGCCCAATAATCTTTTGAAACTGTTTCCTTTTTCTGGCACTCAGTTATAATCTGCCTAAAAACCTTCTTCACACTGTCTCATGATTTAAATTCTTATGAAATCTGATTCTTAATCATATCTGATTTTAATACCTATGTAACCACATTCATTTGAAAGAAATCAGGATTCTGGAAAATGGGTTCTGGAGCAAAAGCTTGACTTATCCTGACTAATCTAACCTTAGTTCCCCTGACCACTCACACATCCCATGATGGATGATCCCTCATCCATGAGGTACATCCATTAGGTACCTAATCGCTCCCCTCTGCAGTGTCTGTCTCTCAGGGTTTCACTGTCTCCCATCTCCTTCCCTCTTGAAATGATTGTGTCCCTTCTTCCCTGTGCTAGAACAACATGTTCCATTTATTCCACTTTACCCCCATCTGCTGGCCAAGCAAAGCTGGCGCATAGAAAGGCACTAATTGCGGAATAGGGACTGGCCGAGAAAAGGCACTGCTTCCTGCTTGCCTCAGTCAGGCAGCCCAACTACTTGATAGGTCAACTGAAATGATTTGGTTTAAAGAAAAAAAAAAGATATATAGAAAGAGGAAGAAGAAAGTATTTTTTTAATGATACAGTTACATATGCATTCATTGTTATGCAGCCTAAATTTTGCTGTATCCTCTTATTTCTCAAATTACTCAGCATCTCTTTACCCTCAGGAAAAATAGCTTGCACTAATACATTTCTGCTTATAGGTTTTGTTGTTGATGCTTGTTTGTTTGTTTGTTTTTAAGAGCAAAAACATATTTCCACACATTTGTAGTGTCTTTCGGACACTACTTCCCAGCACTAGGCAAAGCACTGTAGGAACCACTTAGAACTGATCAATGCCCTTGAAACAGGGGTGGACAGCTGAAAATCCTAAATCGGATAGACTGTCTCCAAGGATGGCAGGGAGGTGACTCTGCCGCTAAACAACCGTCTCCAAAGGAGAAAGTAAAGGACGTCCTTGCAGTTTGTCAATATTCAATAATCCCCTGTTCTTTTCTGCCCTCTAGTGACCAATCAAGCAGTTTTCAGAGAAAAAAGAAAAAACTTTTGACACCCTCTTTAATAGCAGTCATGTGTTTATTTGGCCAAGTCTTGCCACTAATTTAAATGAGCTAGAGAGAAGCAGCTATTGTTATAACACAATTTATACTTAGAAATGGCAGTCAGATGTTTCTAAGTTGTGGATGGGTGAGCCTCTGGGGTGGTGCTAATCACAGGTGGGTTATAGCCACCAGCTTCCTCTGGAAAAGTCCTCACTAGAAGTTTGGACATATATTTCAGGTGCAATTTCCTAAATTTACTCTGATGTACAAAGACTGAAAGAAACCACTAAAATTTACAGATTATTTTATCTTAAATAAAATTAAAGTTAAAACTAGATTTATTTTGGCAGATGATGATTTCTCTAAAATCACTGTGAGGGTTATGAATAAATCAACCCTGAAAGGTGCTAAGAATCTTTGAGTCACTGAATTAAATGGGAACTAAATGTTGCTCTTAGAGCATTACACATCTGAAAACTATTTCCCCTTCGTAGAGACCTGGCATGGTTTTGTACTCAAGCCATCAGGGAACCATACTGAAAAAGGAAGCCAGGCTATACGTAATTAAAAAACAAAACAAAACCAAAAAAGAAAGCCATATTTTTAATATTAAAAATTGTGGAAAGAATGCAGTCTCTTAATTTTAGATCCACAACAGCAATATATTTTATAAGCATGTTCTTTTCCTATCTGACTTTGCTCTTGTTCCATTAGCAACCCGTAATGATGGATTTTACCAGATTTGGGAAAGCAGATTTTGAGGTATACAGTTCCTTCTTCAAACTGAAAACAGAAACAGCCAATTTCAAGTAAATTCATTTGCTGGTTTTGTTTTAGACCTGAAGAAGGGTTTATGAACTGAAAGCCTTGCTTATTTTATTCGAGTCGCACTAGCTGGCCTAATAGAAGATAATGTATCTCTCTGCAAATCTTGTTCTGGTTTTTGACCATCACAGAGATAACAGCACTGCTATCATAGGCAAAATGCAAAGCATTTCTCACAAGTATGGGGATTTTCTTTTTCAGTTTTCTGTATATCAGTTCTCTGCTTTTTTCCTGAAAGTGTATGGGATGATCATGTGATTAATCTATGCTTCAGATTTCCCTCAGGTGATTTGATGGGTGTCCACAACAGACTGGGGCTGTGATGGGAACAACCCCTGCTGCCGGCTGTGCCAAGCGAGGAGGTGCTCAGGGTTCCCGGCAGCAGAGCCGGTCCAGCCGACATTGCCTCTCCGGGCGCCCAGTTAGCTAAGAGGGAAGGTGGTGCAGTGCTTGAGGTGGTAACTACAACTCGACTCCAACATTTATGTGTTCTGCTTTCCTTGCATGCTGTCTGTTGAGATTTCAGCAGCGACTTGTTTGCCCCGCTGACATTGCAGGGAGTGAAGTGCAGCACTGCAGCTCCTGATCTCCACCTGCGGAGCCTGCACGCACACAGGGCAGCTTTTACCCTGCGTGCTTGGGAGAGCCAGATGTTGGGAAGGTCTGAGGTGGCCCCGGGCCCATGAGCCACATTTGATCATAGCTCACACCAGAGCGGTGCAGCCCCATGCAAAGCAGGGGGTGAATTATGTACGTGTGACAAAAGCTGACAGAGACGCTGGCCATGCCGACTTTCACTGCCTACTAATAATGCTGCCTGCTCAACAGCACTGCTATGGAAAGCGGTGCGAGGGCGACGCGCCAGCGGGTGACAGACAATGTGTGTGCACGCTCCAGGCTGCCCGCCAAGGCAGCGTTTGCTGTGTGTGTGCCGAGCAGGCTGCGTCCTTCCGCCTCACACCTGCCGCTACGTGTGTGCTAGCGCAGCGAGCGGCGCCGGGCCGCAGGCAGCGGCGCTGGCTCTGCAGCCGGTGCTGCCCCACGGCCGGGACGCTGCCCTGTCCCAGCAGCACCAGCACGGAGCAGGGCCGGGCAGCTGGGATGCTGCTACCTCGTGTGAGGGGCCAGGGGAGCTGAAGAGCCTGGAAGGGACCGGGCCCCAGTTAGCAGCAGGGGCTGTTGCCTGGCCCGGGGGACATTTAGTGGCCAGGGTCACAACATCTGCAACTTGAGCTGGCTTGGGGGGCATTTCATCTATCCCGCCCCTGGAACACGAAACCACTGGCCCTACTCAACTACCTTTTCAAAAACGGTTTTATTTAAATACTATACCATAAGTGAAAAACTTACTTGGAATTGCCAAAATAGCCCCTCCGTCTGGCCCCCTCCGAGGCCACTCAGCACATCAGGCCTCATTCCTGCTTTGTGGAATGGAGAGATGCTCTGTGCCCTTTGTAAAGCCTTGACTACAGTATTTCCTAATAGCAGTTTGCGCGACTAAGAAAACTGTTATTAATTCTACATATAATGTCCGATTTGTTATTAGGCCACTAGGTTACATCCTTCTGAGGGATGTATTTCTCACACAGCCACGAGAGGATCTGCTTCGGCCGGTCACGAGGCTGTCAGCAGCAGAACTCAGTGTTAACGCGTTTTTCAGCCATCAACCGCCCCCCCAGATCGGCTGTTACTCCCACGCGCGCCCCACGGCCCCGCCCGCCG